TCTTGATGAAAGTAATTGATGTCACTGAATGGTACATGTAAAAAAAATGAAATGGAAAATATTTTGCTACCCCTACACACACACTGCACCACACGCAGAAGAGGCTAAGGGGAATATTTTTAAATAAACTACAAATTTGGACTACTAGGGAGCTCTGGTAGTTTAGTGGTAAGGGGTTGTGCTGCCAAGCCAAACATGCATGGTTCAAATCCCACAAGCTGCTCCACTAGAGAAAGGCATGCTGTCAACTCCCATGCAAATTATTGCCTCTGAAAACCCAGTGGAGGGTCAGCTATGAATCAGTTCTGACTTGAGAGTACATAACAACTAATTTACTCAGCAGAACTCTAGAATGGAGGTTTGGCAGTTTGTTTTCTTAAAGATTATAGCCAAGAAACAAACAAATTAAAAAACCCTTTGTAGTAGCTCTGCTCTTAACATCTGGGGTTGCCAGGGGTCAGGTAGATGGAGAAGAGATTGAGGTTGTTAGTAATTACGGCTTGCTCCACTCCACAATTTCAATTCTTGAGAAATGCCAAACAAGTCATTCCTTTTTTATTCTCTGACTTCAGCTCTCTGCACATATCATAAAATTTTATTTTATCTTCTCAAGCTGTCCTCTGAACTCTACTGTTCAGCTCTTTTACTTCAGCATATCTTTCTTTTGTTTTGGCTTGTCAGTGTTCCAATGCAATGTTCATAATCTCTTCTGACATCCACTTAGGAGTCACCCCCTTCCTCTTTCTTTAGAGTTATCTTTTGCTATCTTACTGCATAATGTCTTTGATGTCCTCCCTCAGTTCCTCTTGTGTTTAATGTCTCAAACTTGTTCATGAGAAGATTCTTAAATTCACCTGGGATATACTCAAGGCTATATTTTGTTTCCTGAGTACTAGTTTATTTGGGTGTTTTTTTCAACTTCAATTTTAACTTGCACATGAGTAATTAATGGTCTGTTCCACAATTGGTACTTGGTCTGGTTTTGACTGCAGATACTGTATTTCTCCACTGATTCTTTCCATAAATATAATCAGTCTGATTCTTGTGCATTCCATCAAGTGAGGTCCATGTGTAAAGTCATCATTTGTGATTTTGGGGTTTTTTTTAAAGAAATTTTTTTAATTGTGATTTTTAACTAAAATTTTACACCATTCGTGTTTTTTAAAAAGGAGTTTCCTTGAAGATTGTGAAATAAAATTTCTCCTTGGAGGCTAGGATTATGAAGCTCTGTTTCACATACTTTGGGCATGGGGCCAGGAGTGAGACTGATCTTTAGAGAAGGATATCATGTTTGGAAGAGTGGAGGGACAGCACAGGAGAGGAAGAACTCAGATGAGATGAAAGTAACTTGGGAAATGTGGGTGGGTGTGTTAGTGAGACTGTATCAAGACAGGGCAGGGTTCAGAGCTGTTGTACATAGGGTCACTATGAGTGGCAGGCAACTCAATGGCCCATAACAACAACAACTTGAATAAATCATTGAATGAATAAAATTCTCTAATTTTGATTTCTGGTCTCATTTCTGTCACCATATT